TGTGCCAAATTCTATCTTAATAAATGATATGATAATGTTGTCTACTAAGCAAATTTACTAGAGTGCTCATTCCTATAAACCATTTGATATGATAATGTTCTTAGAAACTTTGTATTTGATTTGTGCTTGTGTGTGAGTCCACTCAATTCTTTTTAGATCCTCATAGCTCTCTTGGCTAGCATATTCCTAAAAAAATGTAGAGTGTGGCCTGTAAAATTTTTTTAAAATAGATGCATATTTACATATTTTTAATGATATCTCAACAATTCTGATATAGTCCATGCACGGTGTTGTGTGCCTCCGTAAATGATTCTCTCCCCTCCAATGGAATACCAAGTCTTTGCTAGCTTGATGTCAACTCTCCATTGCGGCTATCACCAAGAAAACACTGAATAGAAAGCAGAAGTTGTATTTGCCACAAGGTTATATGGATTGGTCAATTGTATGACTTGTGAGGCACTAAGTAGCTAATTGTGTCTCAATGGAAACTTATTAGATAAAACATTTCCTCCACTCCAAGTATTAAACAACTTTGTTGATGAAATCAACAACTGGAGGTACCTTGACAGGAACGTAGTTAGCTATAGCCTACAGGCATTAAACAAACATTTCGGATTAACATTGATTATTTGTGGTTTAAGGGGTAATGTTTTTCAATGTGAACATCTTTGCGCCTGAATATTTTTTACTAGTTGCATTGTGTCCCCTAAACTTTTTACTAACTGCACTTTGCCCCCAAAGAAACCCACCCCCACCTCCATGCACAACACCCAGTTGATATAGTTCTTGATTTACCAGACATGGGTTTCCTTCTTTATCTACCACAGAATGAAAAGGGGGAAAGGGGGAAAAAGAATCTAAATGAGATTGGTAACCACATCATATTCATATTTCTAGCTTCCTATGTCCCTTCATCATCATATTAAGTACTATCATGCCCATGTTGTAGAAAAAAAGATGTACGAAATTTATACAAAACTTTGTTCAATTTAGTTATTATTATACGCGTTGTGCTAATAACCTATGTATTTTGCGATGTTATTTTAGATGGCTTCTAGTAGTTCTAGGAATGACGAAGACAAAGCAAACTGGACTGTGGAGAGACATAAGACTTTTTTTAAGTTATGTGTTAAAGAGATGGATAAAGGGAATTGGCTCATTACTAGTTCTAACAAGCGAGGTTGGAAGAATATTATAGATGGACTTGTAGCAAAGGAGAATGTTATCTATGACCAAAATCAATTGAAGAATCACTTTGTTATTACTAAGGATGCATGGAAGTCATGGCACAAATTAACTAGTCATACAAGAGTGACTATTGACCCTATAACAAGAGGTGTCTTGTGTGATGACCAAACATGGAATATATTTGTTGACGTAACATCTAATTAGGTCAATTTAAATATTGCAGGAGTTAATTGGCAAACCCCGATTGCAAGGAATTTCGTAGGAAACCATTATCATTTGCTGACATGTTAGATAGAGTTTTTAGCAATACAATCGCAATCAGGGAGCATTCATGGGCTCCTTCACAAGGAACCCACCTTGTATTTGCTCCTACAACCAGTGGTGGTGACTATCATGACTTACATTTAGACACATCTTGTGAAAGTCAGATTCCCGATAGAGTTGAACCAACAAGAGAGAAAGGTAGTGACTCAGATGGTCATATACATCATGGACGTGATGGGTCTACATCTTCAGAGCGCCGTCCATAAATGAGTGGGGGAGAACGATTGGACAAACAACTATCAGAGTTGTGCAAAATAATACACAACACTATTACACCAACATCGTCCACAATCAAGGAATGCATGCAAGAGATTCACAAAATTTGTGACCTTGTTCCATATGGTAGCCCATTGTATTGGCTTGCTCTTGTTCTTTTTGTGGATGTTATCGATAAGAAAACATGGACGACTTTTCTTGAACCTGGTGTTCATGATGCATGGTTGGAGTATATGAGGGACGGAGGAAACACTAGTCAGTAGGGTGTTTTTTCAAATTTAGATGTTTATTTTCTATTGTGGACTTGTTTAGGTTCTTTTTTTTAGATAAAGTTTCAAATGTTTTGTCTGTTTTGAACACTACTATTTACTTTGACTATTTTGTTACTTGAGCTTATTTGAACACTAAGCTTTACTGTGATGGTAATACTTGAGCTTTGTTTTGATGACGTTTGGATTTTTATTAAATTGATGTTGGACTCTTGGATAGACATAGGATACTAAAATTTATCTAAATGTCAATGCTTATATTTTTTTTTCATTGCTTTGGATATGTTGTGCAGATCAAATCTAACAACTATGGGCATGTTTGGTTTGTATCTCCAAAAATAGTATTCGAAAATAATTTTTGAGAAGAGTTTTAAAAAATTATTTTGATATTTTCTGAGACAAAAAAACATATTTGGTTAGATGATTCTAAAAATAGTATCACAAAATAAAAAACAAAAAACTTGTTTGGACTGATTGTTTCATATAAAATATTTTAATATATTAAACTTGATAAAATACAGAAAAAAAAAAATCAATCTCTGTTGAAGCAGCAATCATCTCTTAATTGTCTCAAAATCCCCAAATGGCCAAATTACATCAGAAACGATGTCCACGACAAATTGATATATATTAAGCTATTAGAACTCCCAATCGTTCAATCAACAAGGAATTCGAGTCGCCCAAAAAATTTAGATACACAAATTTGTAACCCATAAATCAATCAATATACTTCGTAACCTAGAAAATTAGATCCACAAATTCGTATCCCAGAAAACCCATTACATGTATCTCCTTCAAGATCTGAAGCTAGATGCCAAGAAAACAAAATTTGAAGAAAAAGATGTTGAAACCAAATCTTGAACCCAGATGCAGAGAAAAAAAAGGCAGATCTTGAATCTAGTGATTGTTGAAACCCGATCTTGAACCCAATGATCATTGCTTTGTTGAAGCAACGATTGTTGCTCTGGTCTTCGTTACTCGGTTGGAGCAGCACAACGATTGTTGCACAGAGAGAGAGAGAGAGAGAGAGAGAGAGAGAGAGAGAGAGAGAGAGAGAGACAGAGACATAGTTGTTGCTCTGGTCTTTGTTACTTAGTTGAAGCAGAACAGGGATCGTTGCACAGAGAGAGAGAGAGAGAGAGGAGATCGTTGTAGAGAGAGGAGACGGAGAAAACATAAGTGGAGGGCTTTTATACTTCAATGAAAAAAAATGTGTTTTGCTGTTAAGGAAGTTTGATAGGTGGACCTCATTAAAGAGGAGGGGCTGTTTCCCTTATTTTCTATTTTGGCCTGAAAGCTTAGAATAAATTCTCTATTTTTATTCTTATTTCCCACTTTTTTTTTAAATTTATTTTTAGAAACTACTAACCAAACAACATTTCACAAATTTTTGTGTTTTGAGAATAAAAAACAGGTTTTGAGACCCAAACCAAACACCACCTATATGTCTTACAATACTTGTCATATAACTTTTGAGAAAATCAACTACAATGCACAGGAGTAAAATGTCGTGTAGGACTTCTTCCGTAAATAGTCATCAATATGTGTTAAAGATTCTTAATGACCGTCATCATGTATCCCTTGAATAATTTTGAATGAAAAAACATGTATTTATTTCATTGTGCGAGTTAATGAAAGAAAAAAACTTATTGTGTGATAGCAGAAACGTGTCAAGTCTAGAGAAGTTAGCTATATTTTTAAGCACTATTGGTTACAATGAGTGAAATAGAATGATGCAAGAGTGATTTCAACATTCTGGGGAAACAATAAGTCAACATTTCAATTATGTTTTATTACGGATGGCCGAATTGTCAATGGAAATCATCAAGCTCCATCAAAATTTTAATTGCATCCCTCAAGAGATCAAATTGAATCCTAAATACTATCCATATTCCAACGATTGTATAGGAGCAATTGATGACACACATGTTAGAGCTCATGTTCCTGCTTCAAAACAAAGTCTTTTTAGAGGTAGAAAGATAGTATGCACGCAAACCGTCTTGGCATCATATTCTTTTAACATGGTTTTCACATTTGTCAATGTTGTGTGAGAAAGAACGGCTCATGACTCTAGAGTACTACTACACTGCATTCGTAATAGACATTTAAACTTTCCAAAATCACCTTCAGGTATAAGTAAAAAATGTGTTGATTAAATTTTTTTGCATTCTTAACTATATACACTAACTAATGATTCTATTGTTATTTTAGAAAAATATTATGTGATAGACGCTAATTTCTCTAATATGAATGGTTATCTTACTCCTTATAAGGAAACCAAATATTATCTACCCAAATTTTGTAGAGGGGAAAGGCCTCATGGGATGGAGGAATTGTTCATTCATGCACATTCTTCATTAAAGAATGTGATTGAATGATGTTTTTGAATATTAAAGAAAAGATTTCTAATTTTACAACAAATGCTTTGTTTTGATTTCATTAAGCAAATGTTTATTGTTGTTTCTTGTATGACTTACCACAATTACATAAAACTTCATAGCATCGGAGACATCATAAGCATCCCAAACACACTCAAACTCTCTAGAATTTTATATTCTCCTATCTCTTTACAATTCTATTCTTTACATGTTCTTAGTTTTATAATACAACTCTAGTCTTTACATGTCTTAGTAACTCGGATGATATGTCCCCAACAGCAAAAGTAATCTGTAAAGAGTGAACTAATGTCATTGAAACTGAACGAAAAATGGCCAATTTAAAAAAAAAAAATACAATTCTTAAATCATATCTTGAAAAAGAAATACCATACCCAATGATGTGATAGCAACATTTTTGGCAAAATGCAACAATATCAACGCTACTTTGTTATGAGTGAAAGATATAAACGTGCTCACATCATTGTATAAAAGATTCTAAAAGCGTCAACAATAGTAGTCTATGAGTGCCATCCTATCCATTTTGTTTTACAAAATTCTAGAAATCTAGAAGGTCATCCTATTGTTTAGATTTGCAAAACAATGTTACAATGCATAGTATATGTATATATGGGGCCAAAATAATTGGAAAATTTGAATTTGTTCAAGGTGTATAATTCTTTCATGCTTCAACAATATTTCACAACAGTCTAAGTCACTGTTACTTCTGGCATGCCCCATTCAAAAACAAAGTTTCCCAGGACCGACTAATAAGCCAATCTTGGCTCACTTGATTACAATCTCAAGAAATACAACAAACGCAGTTCCACATGCATATACAAAATTATGGAGCAGAACACTAATAAATATTCGTTCCTTGAAGTGATTTTACAGAGTTGGATCCTTTCCAAACCTCATCATCGCATGAGTTGCCAACATTGAACCCCTACGAGAAATCTCTACAATTCGGCCAACGAGTGGTAGCTTGACAGTCTGTCTATTCAAAAGCGGCTTCTTGTCCCACCTGCATACATTTAATATCGGAAATGCAAGAAAATTATTATAAACATTGTAATACAAGACAAGTACAAAGATAGAACTGTATTATCTAACCAAAGACTAGTTCAAAGATAGATCTGTATAAGCTAATCAAAACATTACTTGAATCCAATTCATTGACAGGCGTAATGGAAAGTAATGTTACTGGATCTGGATCATACCATAAGATGGTAATCTAGATTTTCTCCTGTTGAATTGATGAAACAGTATGTACTTGCAGAGTTGAAGTAACTAATTTTAGAATAGTTGCCATTAAGAAAATTGCATTGGAAATCTAAGAATTCTTGTCAAGTACAAGAACTATGTAGGACTAGTTTGGAACAATATCAGTTAACGAATTCATACCAATCTTCATGGCGAACGACTTTCCCTTCCTCTACATAAAGTCTGATGAGTGATATCATATTTATTTCTTTTCCCAAGAATTTGTAGTATTGCTTGTTGTCAATAAGTATCTGAATCAATTAGTCAAAGTTCAAACTTATAAAACTAAGTAGAACATGCAAAATTTGCTGTACAGATAAGTTCCGAGAAAATAAGTAGGAGCATTTACTGCAAACCTCTTTTTTTCCATGTGAAATCATATTTTCTTTGACGCTATATTCAACGATCCTTGATTCACCAAAGACCTGAGAAGACAGAAAACATAGACTTTGTTATTACCTGTTACAGCAATCCCCTGCTATAAAATCTACAAACACAAGATAGAATCCACCATACTTGGCAACTAACTGGTGTAATAGAAAGAAGAAAATAAACTGGCCTGAAATCTGCGTACATTCAGAGTTCATCTTCTAAAGAAAAATAAATTCACCAAATGCCACAATGTTTTTATTGTGTATGAACTTTGTAGTGTCGTCTTTTGATTATACTTCGGTGCAAAAGTTGCCCTTCAGATTATAGGTTTGGCGACATATCAGAACTCTATCATGCATAGCATCCCCATGCATCACTTCAGTGGTATTAGCAGCTAGGAGTGCAACTCAGATGGGTTGGGCGGGTTGAACAATCAACCCTAGGTATATAATCTTCAACCCCAATCCTAACTCTAACCCTACCTCAGGTTGGGGAAGTCAACCCAAGCACTGCCCGAGTTTAATTCGGGCAGGCTCGAGTTGAATTCAGGTTACTTTACGGGTTTAATTCGGGTAGAGTCCAAAATAGACTTGTTGTTTTAAACCTAATACATATATTACATAATATTCACCTAAATGAACAACCAATAACTTCAGCCAAGTTTTTAATGAGAGAGCCAAAGAGAACATGAAAGACAGAGAACAATAGAACAAAAATGAAAAACCAGTGCTAATGCTTTATATATATATATATATATATATATATATTATAATTTTTTTTTTAATTTGTCGGGTTCGGGTAAACTCAGGTTCATGAGGCCTTAACCCAAGCCCAACCCAAATTGAATTCAGGTTGGGATTTTTTGACCCAACCCAACCCAAGTATTAAAAACTCTTGTCCAAGCCCTAATTTTTTCGAGTTTAGCTCGGGTTAAAATCGGGTTGCCCAACCCCAGTTGCACCCCTATTAGCAACATAGACGTGGAGGCAGAGTTGGGCTTAACTACAACATTACTATCTTGCGAGTTACCCAACAGTCCAGAGAGAACTTTATCCATTAGTATCAAATAATGGTGTCAAACACTATATATGCATAATTGCATATTATGTACTTCAGAGGATTATGACATATATAACATGTCAGTACATTATATATCAGGCCCAACAATGAAACAACAACAAAATGGATCAATTTGTCCATGAAGTTCCTGCATTCTAGAAATTTAGTAGTAAATAAAGTCAATTCCCATCCTTTGATCTAAGCAGTTGAAAGCACGAAATGACTCTACTTCAAAATATTGTTAGTATGTCCCAAAATTGTCTGTAATCAGATTTTTCTTACCCACAGAAATTCCCTATTCAGTTGAGAAAACAATATAAGAGGTATCAAATAGAGTACAATGAAAAGATTGCTACATCCTTACAACCTTGGAAAGTGAATAGAATGCTGATTTGATCTGCTTTATCCTGCAATAAAAGGAAAAATTCTCGAGCATGCAATGTTAAGAAATTATAAGCAACCACCAGCAATGATACTTGAATCACGATATGCAAGCAAGAAACATGCTTGGAACCAACCCACCATTCAATAGAATGCTCACTTCAAATAAAAAATAAAAAAACAATGGTGTCATCGCTCATCTAAATGTCCCATCCTATGTTTATATAACTAAAGTAAAGCATAACAGGAGATGTCCGAGTCTTATAAATTGTATAATTATCCAACCAAATTTATACCAATATTAGTTAAAAGTTATAGATACAAAAATTCATTTCCTGTTTTGTTTTCCCAATTACACATCCAACTTTTGAATCTAAACACATTGGAATAGAGCAAACCCCAATAACAAGGCTTTCTGACCCTGATAATTTATATTTCTAACCCCAATAACAAGTCTTTTTGACCATGATATTTTATATTTCTAACAGAGGGATCATTTCAATGGCTCTATCACTTATGCTCCGTTTGGTATGATGAAAAAACGGAAAGATGAAAAGTTGGATGGATAAATAAACATCATGTTTGGTAAGAAAGGAAAATAGGAAGGATGAAAAAGTAGATAGATTCACTTTTCTTCCAACTCACCAAAATCAATCCCAATAAAATCGGACGAAAAGTGAATGTAAAGTTAATTATTTATTTTGAGATATATCTTATTTGTCTATATATTATGCATACATTAATTTCATATAAAAATCATATAAAAATACAACGATAAAATATGTATTTATATATATATATTTTCAAAAAAATCAAAATAAAAATAAAAATAAAAATAAAAATTTAAAATTAAAAAAAATATTTTTTTTGATCTTAACTAGGGATGAAAATTTTTGACTCAACACGATGACATGAATCGAACTCGACACAAATTTTATAACATGAACTTGATTATAACTCGACACGAACTTTAAAATGATTTGACATGCGAACACGAAATATAAAAAACTCATAATTTTATGACTCAACACGAATCTGACACGACACAACCCGATTGTCCCTCCTAATATTAGACCAAAAAAATTAAAAAAAAAAAAATTGGTCATTTTTATGTTTCATCCATCCAACCAAACATAAAGGATGGAAAGTGTATCATTCCTACTTTCCATATTTAAAGGATAAAAAGTGTATCCCTTCTACTTTCTATCTTTCCTATCAAACAGAGCATTAATTATGCTTCCTACTTTTTCTAAACATTATAACAAAGAAGTTCTCCAGATGGTGAGACATATTGAAAAAAGCAGTTTGCTTGCGCTATCAGGCTTACCCATGTGCACACATGAGGGGGTCTTCAAAGGTTGCATCCGGAGAATAGATCTCAAAATCTTTGGGCTTAGCACATGATCCATATCTGAAACCATTAATATTAAATTGCAGAAGAGAATCAGTGGGACTATGACTGATGAGTGAAGATAGATTAAATTATGCTTGACAAGTGCAAAACGTATTCATTAACAAGAAACAAATGTGTACACCTTGCATTATGTAATTACCATGCTATAAACGAGGGTCTAGTAGGGGTAGACCGGGTACAAACCTAACATTTGACATTATATACACAAAGAGTCTGCCCTCGGGTTTGAATCCAAAAATTCAAGGTTATTGGTCCCAATTTTAACCACGGAATGAGTGACCCCTCTACACTATAACAGAATCCAGTAGTATATAGAAAATATACAACCCATAATCTGAGACAGCCAAAAATGAGCGATGTTTCATCAGAGTCTAATTTTCAGGAACCACATATTATGATGTATTAAAGTATACTACCCATACAAATCTTAATAGGGAATCCTTCTCCATGCCTCTCAGATTTCCATCATAATTACTAATCAAATTTTAGAAAACTCTTTTTATTCTTTTCAATTCGAGTTGCATAAGCTAAAGGCATGTAAGAATGTCAAAGGCCAAAAGCAAGGAGTCTGCATAGATTTATGGGAAGGTTGGAGAGCATGTGCCAAACATTTTTAACATGATGTATGGAATACTATTATGAAGGGCGAGCTATATTTGGTCTTTTTGGTGTTTCTCACACCTGATCAAATGCAATTGTTCATTTCCCACAAAACTAGCCACCTACACTTGGTATCTCCCACAATCACTAAATCTATTGGGACTTAATACATTGTAGCAATTAGATTAATAGTGAACTTCATTGAGACCTGTTGATAATGCAATGGCCACAATCATTGAATCCCCAAATTATGTCCCAATAGAAAGAAAATCAACGTGAGTCACTAAAGGTATATTGGTCATTACAAAAATAGATCCAATTAGAATGGACTAGAGCACAAAGAAGTTTTATTGACATATCCTTATTGCCTGAACAAATTCATGCTTAGATTCACTTCTTTTTTATGTATACATGTATATCACTATTAAATATTTTTCAGATTGATTTATGGTGCTCACCCTACTATGTTCATATAAGCTAATACAAAAGGCCTGTGAGCACGTATAGACACGCTTCGGACATTTTTGAATATATTTTGGATACATTGAAACTAATTTTGTGAACATTTTTTAATAAAAATTACGAGCTTCTTTTATTATTGGATCAAAAGTAAGATTATTATGTGGTAAAATATAGGATTATTTTCTAAGCATATAAGAAACATGTTCATAAAATAAAGAAAGAAAACATTTGAATTTGAAAAATATCCATATAAACATCGCAATCTAGTGAGATTCTTTACATAAAACGAAAATCAATAAGAGACTGAGAAAGTTAGAGAGAAACAAAGAGATAAGAATACGCAATTGGTGACTGTGTGAGCCTCCGGCAAGCTATTTCTTGCCTTTATATGAGATTCAGTGAGGCAATTACAATGCCGCCCATAACCTTTTTCTTTGCTAATTTTTAACGCCTTTTTACTCATGAATTTTGACTAACGAGTTTTTTCCCAAATTATGAACCTCAACGAGTTTTTATTTCTTATTTTGGGTATGTTATTATTGTAGTAGAGCTTCTGGTGATTAATATATATTTTAGTATTTACAATTTTTTTTTTGTTTGTACTCTTAATGAAAACATGGAATTACTTGTAATTGGCGTACAATTGATTTTTAATTTTCAATAATTGACCTCTATCTAAATAAGTATAATTTTTTTTATTATATTTTTATCAATTGAAAAATATTAATTTAAGTTAAATTTTTTATTATATTTTTATCAATTGAAAAATATTAACTAAGTTAAATTTTTTATTATATTTTTATCAATTGAAAATTATTAATTAAGTCCCGGAATTGAAGTGCCCACCCTAAACTGAATACCTGCTCCACCCTGAATCTCACCCTCCTCTTTCCCTCACAACAAATCTTATTCCAGAACAGAAAATACGGGCATAAATTTCCTCTTATTTTCTCTATAAGTTCTGATCATAAAATAAGAAAGACTCAACTAAGCCAAATAATGCTTTAGTTAGTTGATCAAATGAAAAAGAAAACATCAAAAAGTTGATCTTTTGTCTTCCACCATCTTCTTGTCATACAAACCAAGACTAAGTTAATCAATTCATTTCTTTAGCAAGGAAACAAAAGCACCCCAATTGATTCTGTCACAACACAGTTGCTGAGTGTAGTATTCAGTACATGATATCATGGGTCTACACGTAATAGCTACAGCTTTTTTGAGGACAATGAAATTTAGAACAGAAAACAAAAAAAAAAGGAAAGAAAACGAGAAATAGAACTCACAAGTTCAGAATATGGGGGATTATGTCATCTGAAGAACGCTTTGAAGGGTTGTATTCACAAGCTCCCTTGGAACACTGCTCTCTGTGTTGATCCTTTATGGCCTCCCCATTATCTTCATAGAACCCAACACAACAAACAATTTTTCAACAATGAAAACCCAGTTCACAGGAACAACAAACTCGAAAAGAAAAAAATCAATCAGCAAAACAAACGAGACAGGATTTAACATGCACCTTTCGGGTACGTTTCCATAGCTTATTCAGTTGGTATCTCCTCTGAGGGAGAGATAGAGAGAGAAGTTTGTATGGAAAGGAAGGAGGTGGATTTAAGAACGAGAGGGAGAGAGAAAGCCATGAGGCTGCAGGGGGCTCTACGTGGAAGTAGCATGTCCAATTGCAGGCTGGTCAGCCGGCTCAGTTTTGGGGTAAAGATCCTCTGGTGTTCGGCAGATGAACTGCTTCCAAACGACGTCGTGTTGATACAAAATGACGTCACATCTGAGAACAACACGTGCTTTTGCACATCATCCGGAGATGGATCTCTGTCTGAGTTTTGTAAGTTGTAACTGTATTAAAAATTTATTATTTTTTATGATTAAGTTATTATTTTTTAAAGTATAAGTTTACTGTAAATGTGTTGATTCACCTTAAAATGGTATAATCGATTATAAAAGTTATAAATTTTATAGATAAAATTATAATTTTTAAAAATCAAGTTATACTTTTTTAAATACAAAATTATAACTGATTAAGTTATACTTTTTTAAATACAAAATTATAACTGATTAAAGGATATTCATGATTGATTATGAATTCAGTTCGAGCAATTATAATTTCATATTTTTTTATAAAATTCAAAGTGATTCATGTATATTTAATTCAAATTTATATCCCCAAATGAATGAGAATCATTAGATGGGTGGGTCTCATCAATTTTTTAAATGGGACTTATTGATCCAATGGTCCCTTTCATTTGGGATGTAAATTTAGGTCGTAGATTTGAGTTACATAATATTACTCTTTATATAACTTTACTTTTAAAATGTATAATTTAGACTTTAAAAAATAATTACTTTTAATACGGTACCCCAACCAAAAAAAAAAAAAAGCACCATAGAATTACCCACTAATTATAATGGCACAACAGAGCGTTGATTCAATTGGTTAATTAACTATTGGTAGGCTTTGGATTGGGTTTTACAGTCAAATTTGGTTTCCTATTGAAATTAGGGAACAATTGAGTTGTTTTTGTACAACAAATTTAGAATTTGAGATTCCGCAGAGTAAATTACGATACACAGATACAAAATGTGTTCTTTATACGTTTATTTATTTTATGGTGTTTACAATAAGGTGTTCAAGAAATTATGTAGCGCACCAACTTACTAGATATTGTGAAAAATATTGATGTAGGGGAAGAGATGACACCACCAGAATTTTTGGTGGCATTCATTCTTTTAGATTTAACTATTTAATAAATTTTTTACAGTTTCATTCAAAAAAAAGTAATTTTCTGTATGTGACTGCCAAATACTAATTTTTGGAGTTTAGTTACACATTTTTGGGGTTCAAATTAAAATTTTTGGAGTATTTGAGGTTAATCTCACTTCTAAAAACTATAACTTGACCTCTAAAAAATTATTACTTAAAACTTAGGGTTAATTGTACTAGAGGTCCCCAAAATATAAGATTTGTCTTATTTTGGTCCCCAATATTTCAATTGCATCATTTTGGTCCCTGAAGTATTGAATATGTTTCTATATGGTTCCTCAAGCAGATAATGTCTAGATTACTAACGATTTTTTATCATAAATTTGTCACATAATACCTAAATATAGACAAAAAAATAATTTTAATAGCTCTTAAACAAAATTTTGGTAGCTCTTGACAAATAAATGGGTAATATAAGTAGTATTTAACCAAAATTTGGATAGCTCATTATCAAAACTGTGTAATTTAGATAATTATTTAACAAAATTTAAATAAAAATTTGGTCAAGAGTTATTCAAATTATTTTTTTATTCATATTTGAGTATTACGTGACAAGTTTGTGATAAAAAATCGTTAGCAATCTGGACGTTGTCTGTTTAAGAGACCATATAAAAACATATTTAATACTTCAGGGACCAAAATGGTGCAATTAAAACACTAGGGACTAAAATGAGACAAATTTCATACTTTGGAGACCTCTAGTGCAATTAACCCTAAAACTTAAAAATATCACAAAATGGTGTAGTATTTTAAGATTGATCCCAAAATATCATTGTCGATTCTTACCTTTTTTAATGACTAAATTTTACAAAATTATGTTAGTCCACAGAAGTATAAACTTTGGTATCCAAGTCAAATCCTTCAAAAACGTGGTTACAAGCCACACTTTTTGTAGTCTATCAGAGTCTCTCAGTTGAGAATCGCCTCAGATTCTCAATGGGCATGTCAATTAAAAAGGTTGGCAGCTACGCATTCTTCCATCATGCCAGTCCGTCTAATTGTAAAATGTCATTTTATGTTATCAGTAACACATGCATGGGAATTTTACATTGGATAGACAAAAAAGTAAAAATTTCTTATTATATCATGCATGGACTCACTAAACCCTCTTATATCCTAACAAGTGGTATTAGAGTGAATAAATAACGATGTTAGTTAAACTTTTCAAGCAGTATTATGACTGTTAATCAAGCTGAGCTATTCGAGTTTAGTTTGAGTTCGGTTCGGATTCGGCTTATTCAAATTCGGTTCATTTTCTAAACGAATTCGAACTTAAACAAATTTTTAGGCTCGTTTAGAAAGCAAGCCCTACAAGTTCGCCTCAAACTCAACAAGTTCAACTTGTTTATGTGCAAATACTCGGGCTTGACTTATTTTTTGGCTTGTTCAAGCTCAACTCGTTTTCTAAACGAGCCGAACTTGAACAATTTTTAAGACTCAATTAAAAAATAAATTTTTTAAATTTGACTCAAACGCGACTCAGAGTCGTTCGACTAACCGTCCGAAGCAATATAGTACGTTGATATTGGACTGTTAAAAAAGGACAAGATGGGTTCTAGGAGTTTGATTTACAGTAATGGTCGGTAAGCTATTGGGTCAAACTCTATCGAGTAATGATGTGGAGCCTTGAAAAAAAATATTATGGGTCAAGGACTTTACTTTGATAGCATGGTAAAGCAGTTGACCATTAATAATAGGAATATGATGACCCATAAGAGCTGGTTAAAATATCTTATTTTTTTAGAAAAGCGAACTTTTGTAAAGAATAATTATATATAATTCACTATCTCAAATTTATTTTTTAGCATCGAATTTTAAAATTAAATAATAAAATTTGTTGTAAAAAGGTGATTTTCGAAAACAATTTCAATTGTTTGTTATGGTAAATTTTTTTATGATATTTTTAGCGATCAGTTTTTGTAGTCGTCGTCAATAGTTTTCACAAAAACGTGCTCTACAGAATGTATTCTTGTAAAAAATAGTGGATCAAACTAAAAAGGAAGCTATATCCGATGTGATTCACATATAAGGGGAAGATATGGGTATTACATATGTTGGGATCTCATATCGGATAGTCAAAAAAGTGAAAATACCCTAATATATTCTGGCTACTTATAATCTTAAGCTTTTATGTACGTATAAGTATCAAACATCTATATTAAGCCTTAAATCACTGGGCCCTCTGATCTCCCATGTGGTATTAGAGCTGATGACTAATGATACTAATTTTACTCTTCGAGCAACGTAGAATATCAATATTAACAGGAATGATAGAAAATAGGAGAGATACATTTTTCAATCTTTCAAAAAAGAAAAATATGAATGATACACTTTCATTTCTCTGTGTTTAGTAGGATAGATGTAAAATACAAATGATTTTTTTTTTTTTTTACTGTCAAAGATTAGAGGTGATAATCGACTCGTGTCGTGTCAAATTCGTACTGAGTCATTTATGGGTTTGTGTCGAACATTAGTCAAACATAACTCAACTCATTTAACTAATTGAGTTGTGTCGAGTTGATCTATTTATTTTCGTGTCGTGTTCGTCTTCGTATCTGTGTTGACCCATAAAAACTTTGAATAAAAATTTAACTACAATATTCTATTTTCACTTAATTGAATCCATGTTAAACATGTTAGTTTTGTGTTACCATACAAACGAGAAAATAGAAAAAGTGTTTATTTTTAAATAAATGAGTTGATGGTGTTAATTTTGTGTTTGACGGGTTGAATTGAATATAAGTCGTTTATATTTCTTGTTCGCGTGTCAGGTCATTTTCAAGTTCGTGTCGAATTATAATCAAATTTGTGTCATAAAATTTGTGTCGAGTTCAAGTCGTGTCATCGTATGGAGTCGAAAATTTTCACTCCTAACTAAGATGAAAAAATATCATTTTTAATTTTTAATTTTAACTTTAATTATTAAAAAATATATATAAATACATATTTTATCATTGTATTTTTATATAAAATTAATGTATACATAATATACGTATATATAAAAAGATACATAGACAAATAAGATACATATTAATACAAATAATTAACTTTTCATTCACTTTTCTTCCGATTTTGGAAGGATTAATTTTGATAAATTGGAAGAAAAATAAATTCATCCACGTTTCCATCATTCTTATATTCATTTCTTACCAAATATAATATTTTATTTATTTCTCAAACTTTTCATTCTTTTAATTTTTAATTTTTTTATTTTTCTATCGTATCAAACAGAGTTTTAAAGAATGACAAAATGGATTATGGGAATTAAAGTCACAATAATTGTCGGTGTGTTACCGATCAACCGCTACTGAGTAATGATGCAGTGTTTTGAAAACAAAAATATCACAAGTCAATAGATTTTCCCTTGGGTGGAGAGTAGCGGATCGGACAAACCTTTCGTTTGTTACGATGAAAAAGTGGAAGAATAAAAAATTAAAAAAATAAATAAAATATTATGTTTGATAAAAAAAAATAAGAATGATGAATTAACTTTTTTTTTGACTCACAAAAATTAATTCCTCCAAAATCAGAAAGAAAGTAAATGAAAAGTTAATTATTTGTGTTAAAAAATATTTTATTTTTCTATATATCTTTTAATATATACATATATTATGTATACATTAATATTATATAAAAATACAATGATAAAAAATGTAGTTATATATATTTTAAAAAAAATTTGAAACATAAATTTAAAAATAAAAAATAAAAAATAAAAAATAAAAAAAATAGAATATTAACGTTAAATATTTTATTCAAAGATTATGTGGATCAACACGAATATAAACACAAAACAAAAATAAACAGGTTAACTTGCAACTCGACATGACACAATTTATTAAATAAGTTGAGTTAAATTTAATTAATGTTCAACACAAATCCGTAATGAATCAACACGAATGTGA